AATGATTTTCCAGAAAAGGAAGAGTATGACTACATAATTGTAGGGGGAGGAACGGCAGGGTGCCCATTAGCTGCAACATTATCAAAAAACTTCTCAACCCTCCTTATTGAAAGAGGCAGTGAACCCAATAAATACCCATCAGTGCTTAAAGAACAAGCTTTACTCAACGTTTTCACTGTTGAAGATGATGGCAAAAATCCCTTCAATCGTTTTGTTTCCAAGGAGGGTGTGCAGAACCTAAGAGGGCGAGTTCTTGGTGGCACTAGCATGATCAACGGTGGCGTGTACTCGAAACCGAACACAGATTTCTTCAAAACACAGTTAGGGGTGCAGAAATTCGACATGGAAATGGTGGAGAAGGCGTATAAATGGGTTGAAGAGGCTTTGGTGTATAGGCCGAGGTTGAATGCTTGGCAAAATGCTTTTAGAAGGGTTCTTGTTGAAGGAGGAATTGTGCCTGATAATGGGTTTGAGTTGAGAGACGTTGTGGGTACTAAAATTGCAGGTTCTATTTTTGATGAGAATGGGAATAGGCATGGAGCTGAGGAGCTTCTCAACAAGGCACGACCCGGAAATCTCAAAGTCGCTATTCGGGCTACTGTCGAAAGAATTATCTTCTCTGGTTTGTGTTTCAATTTGTTTGTTGTTGTAATTGTAAAAAGAGCACACATTTAATAAGTCCTTAGAGTAGAGAAAACACTGAAGAGCAATGCTTTTGTCAACCAGTACCGATTCTACTCCTCCATAATTTATCTTATCATCATAAGTAATGCTTCGTTCTCCTCTTCAATCAATGTGAGATCTTATAATCTACCCCCTTGGGAGCTCAGAGTCAGCTCAGTGTCGGACTCTAATGCCATTTGTAATAGTCTAAGCTCATCGCTAGTGAATATTGTCATCTTTTGAGTTTTTCCTTTCAAGTTTCTCATCACCGTTTTTAAAACGCGTCTTAGGGAGAGGTTCCACACCCTAACAAGGAATGTTTCGTTCCCCTCTCCAACCAATGTGGGATCTCACAATTCACCCTATTTGGGAGCCCAACGTTCTCGCAGGCACTCCACTTGGTGCCTCTAATACCATTTGCAACCGTTCAAGCCCACTACCAGTAGATATTTTCTCTTTGGGCTTTCTCTTTCGAGTTTCCCCTCAAAATTTTTAAAACGCGTCTACTAGAGAGATTTTTATACCTTAACAAGGTTTCGTTCTTCTCTCAACCAATATGGGATCTCATAATCCACCCCTTTTAGAGGGTCCAACGTTCTCGTTGGCACACCGTTTGGTGTCGGGTTCTGATACCATTTGTAACGGTTCAAGCCTACCGCTAGCAGATATTGTCATCTTTGGACTTTCTCTTTCGAGATTCCCATCAAGATTTTTAAAACACACCTGCTCAAGAAAGATTTCCAGACCCTAAGAAGGAATGTTTTGTTTCTCTCTCCAACCGATGTGTTATCTCACAATCTACCCCTCTCAGGAGCCCAGCATCTTCGCTGGCACACCGAGACTAGCTCTGATTCCATTTGTAACTGTCCAAGTCCACCACTAACCGATATTATTCTCCTCGAACTTTCTACAAAGTGTACAGACAATTCTACTAAAGTTACTCCATAATTTAGTAACTTATTCTACTAAATCTGTATGAACGGTTTACAGGATCATCAGCAACTGGGGTTTTGTATTCTGATTCAAAAGGAAAGCTACACACAGCAGTCATCCGGAAGAATGGAGAGATAATTGTGAGTGCAGGAGCCATTGGAAGCCCACAGCTTCTCCTTCTAAGTGGGGTTGGCCCAAAATCCCATCTTTCATCCTTAAACCTTCCCCTCATCCTCCACAACCCACACGTGGGTCAGTTCATGAAGGACAATCCCCGTGTCGGCGTCATTCCAATTCTTCCATATCCACTAGACTTCACCTCTTCAAAAGTGATCGGAATCTCAAACAACAACACCTACTACTTCCAATCCATCGCCACCACATCACCCTTCTCAATCCCCCCTTCTTTCAGCCTCCTTCCCCCCAACTCCACGTCCGTCAACCTCACCATAGCCACCATCGGCGGCAAATTCTCCAAACTCACCTCCGTCGGCTCTCTCCGCCTGAACTCCTCCACCGACGTCAAAACCACCCCCATCGTGCGATTCAATTACTATTCTAACCCTGCTGATATTCAGCTCTGCGTTGGAGGAGTGAGAAAAGTGGGGGATTTTCTAAAAACCCAAATCATACAAAACATTAAAACCAGGGATTTGGAGGGTAATAGAGTAATTCAGTTTCTAGGGCCTCCGTTGCCGGAAAACTTGTCGGATTATAGCTCTGTGGCGGAGTTTTGTAAGAGAACAGTCACAACGTATTGGCATTACCATGGTGGATGTTTGGTCGGAAAAGTGGTCGACGGTAATTATAGTGTCATCGGACTAAAGAATCTTCGTGTTCTTGACGGCTCCACTTTCGCCGTCTCGCCGGGATCTAACCCTATTGCCACCCTCATGATGCTCGGCCGGTGAGTTGATAATATATATATATATATATATATATATATATATATATATATATATATATATATATATATATATATATATATATATTTAAAGAAACTAAAAAATATAATTTTATTTTAAAGATATTGATATTGTAGATTATTTGTTTAATTATTTTTGCAGGTATGTTGGCCTTCAAATGCTAAAACAACGAGGGGTGTAATAAAATGGCAAATTGGAAGAAAATAGCCATTTTTAGATGAAAAATGTCTATTTCTGCTCCATTTGAAAATAAAGATAATTATAAACATATACTTTTCTTTGTATTTTCTTTTATATATATATATATATATATATATATATATATATATATAATAAATAAAGATGTTTAGTTAAAGTTATTATATGCTAAATTTCAGGTCGACTTGATTAGTAATTCATTGGTTTCGTTGTTAGCATCGGTTTTACGTAATCATAATTGTTTGGACCATTCAAGAAGACTTTAATAATAACCTATTTAAGTATTAATAATAATTAATTAAAAAAAATTGTATAATGCTACAAGAAAGATAATATTAAAGGCTAAGAATTAATAGGTTTGACCATTTCATAAAAAGACAATTTTGTAAATCCAACCATATTGCTTTTTTTTTTTTTTTTTTTTTAAGGTTAAAATTTGATTTTTTATGCAATAATAAATAATATTGAAAAAATATATATTATTTTTTAATTGACCGTTACTCTAGACAAACTAAGAGTAGTTAGAAACTAGAGGGAAAAACATTTTCTTATTCGTTTATATGAATTTTGGGAGAATATTGTTAAAGATAGAATAATATATTTAAATATTTAATATATCAAAGTTATAATTTTACTTAAATTATATTTAAAAATTATAAAATATCTCAATATATATCTAACCCATCTCATCCAAGTTTAAATATATTTTTTTATTTAATGTATTTATATATTGATTATTTTAATATTTAATCTATTAAATACAATAAATATGTATTTTTTTTTTTAATTTCAAACCTGTCCAATTAAATATATTTTTCTTTCTTTTATATATTTTAGGTCAACCATTTAAATTAAATATATTTTTCTATTAAATATTATTGAACACTTTAAATTAAATCTATTTTTTTCATAATGGTGTGGACCCACATAAGTACAAGTGAACTTTGAGGAGCACCAATAATAATTAGCCACTCCTACTTAGAGTAACCATGTAAATGGCTTCATTGTTGGCTTAGTTGGATGACTTGTTTGCTATATGAATGACGTGAGTCCTATAGCCTTATATGTGTCGTGTGTTATGATTATTACCAATGTTATATTTATGTTTACGGTACAATATGATATGTCGCGTTACAATTTATGTTATGTATTAGTTATACTATTATATGATTAAGTTAAATTATGGAACTATGCTGTGATATCAATGTTGTATGATGCATGAATCTCCATATGTCACGTCATGTAACTATGTTAACATGTATGTTAATCACAAAAGATATGACAATTATTACGTATGTATGTCTCATGGGAATGTCATGTAATAAAAAAAATGGAGGCATGAGTTGCATAAGTGTATGCTATGGTTTGAAGTTATTGGGATCTAATGCATTTTATATGTCACATGCATTGAGATAATTCTCCATTATGATTAATACGGATGCATACACTATGATATCATGTATATCGTGATATTATGTGCTATCCTTTCTCTTTGTGGCTTCTAGCAGCATGAGTGTACACTACCCCAACAAATAGGCATAAGGGTATATATACGAGTCCACCTGATAGGCCCACGTGCACGTACATCAGTCTTTTATTGAAAAGTACTACACATTCAAACCTGCCTAGACTAAAAAGTAGTATTTTTAAATTCAATTACTTTCCCCGACAAAACCTTTATAATTCAATTACTTTAACTCCTACCTAGGCCAACATTGACTTGCTTCTTTTATTACAATGATCAACTTAACATCAAGGCCTTTCTTCTTTACTGCAACATATGGAGACTCTACTACCAAACATCATCTCGCACATTTGATCCCAATAATAACATTCCTAAACAAAGAATAACCCGAACCAACCCAAATAAAAAGCAATATCCCCTCGTAGTAGAAGTTACAAAGTAAAGCCCGATCGTACCTCTTTTGTAGTTCAGTTAACCCTGCCCAAACCAACATTGAATTAATTCTTTGAATGGTTTGCTGAGACTCAGCGACCAAAAACTTTATCGCAACTTCCATGTCTCTCTGGGGCATACCTAAACAAAGAAGAATTCATATTTGTATGTGTTTATAAGGCAGGCACGTATACAAGACTTAAAAAAGCTCGTCAAATGTGGATCCAGCATCCCTTTTCGTCGATAAGGTAAAGACAGCACCATACAATAAATTCTAGGCTTCCTGAACCACAAATGTCACTATAAACGTAACTGTCACTCTAATTGTGACTACCACTTAAAAAGTCACTATCAAAATTTGAATATCCTCTTCAAGGGAATCGTGACAAAAGTTCGATCTTAGACATTATCCCTGAATTAGAAATGATGTTAATAAATAGCATTCAAATCACAGCAATTAAAGATGGGAAACAAGAAAAAGCCTCTTTAATGAAAGCAATTTTACATGTATACAAAATAGATCATTCCCTTTAAAAAGAAAAATTGTGACTAAAACAAGTAAAACTGGCGAAATCACTCGGCAAATGAGTTCTCTTCTGCAAGTCATGATGCTCAAACATCGTATTCTCCAACTGGGTGCCTCAAATGTTCTTTGGCTGGTAATACTTAGCCACCTCCAGACTTGAGGGTGTTACTTAACCTGAATTAGCACGTTAACCGGTTAAACTAAATAAAAGAAGGCTGTAAAAAAAGTGAAATCGTTTAAGAACGTAGCTCTGACTGACAATGCTGCTCCTAGCATTTCAAGACCAAATTCATTCGATATCGAACAAAGGTATCCAAAAATAAATTCACAAGATTGGGTCGACTATGTCAAACAAAACAATGCATTTAGGCGGTCGGGGAGGGTCTAATTACTAAAGTTTCTGGAATCATTAAAAAAACAGATGTAAAGTATAACTTTGTACTTACCAATCCAATCCCTCAAAAAGACCTTCTCCTTTTATAGCGGAGGCTTTAAATATAGCCCATTGGCGGTTCTTAATTTTGTGCAACTCTAAAGCCTCTGTGACTGCAGCATCATCAAGTGCACCCGGAAGATCCTATACCGAGATGGGAAGATAATATGTAGAAAAGATAGAAAAATAGAAACTGCATTAACCATTTGTACTAAACATTTTGTACAAGCCTTCAAAACACCTCAGACACACAATCACAAATGCTTGGTCTTGGACCTTCCGTTGTTTTGAGATACAGCTACACAGTTTTAAAACTCACAAAACTTGAGTTGAGAAATTTATCGGGGAAATGTCATAAAGAGAAATAAGGTTTCAATGTTTTCAATTATTTTCTGAAAGAACTAAGAATTACTGTTCCCAGTATTTGTTAGCAATAACTCTCCTCATAATTCAATTTCACATTTCATAGTTACTAAACTTAATAATGTTTCAACATGAATGTAGCTCAACTGATAAAAAAAACTGTGTATTCTCAACCAAAAGGTTAAAGGTTCAAATCCCTCACAAACAAATAATGTATTGGAATAAATAAAATAAAAGGTAAATGAACAATAGGAAGAAAATAGTTCCGAACGGTTTTTCTAAAACAAAAAAGATAAAATGATATTTTTTACGTACTTTCCAAAACACATACAAACAAATCCTTAAATCCTACTATTTAAGCCCAATTGCATATGCATACTTCAACTATCAGATTCACAGTCTATTGGATTCTATTTTCTGACCAAAAATGCTAACAATATAAATAATCGGCAACAGCACTAACCTGCTTATTCGCAAAAACTAACGCAACTGCACCACGCAACTCTTCTTCCTGAACAAACACACAGAAGAAAAACTATTGGAACTGGCCGACAAAAATCGACTGAAAATTGAAAACAATAAACTTGACTAATAAACAAACTTACAAAACTATTACCAAGCTCAATCCTTTATAAAAAAAATGTGGACAGTTCAGAGACGTTCAATTTATTTCTTGTGCAGGACTTTTGAAACTGAAGGAAAAGAATAGTGATGCAAACATACTACTACTGAGTATTGCCATCTAGGAACCAGATACAATCCACGCTCTTGATGATGTATTTCATTAACGCAGAATTGAGATTTTACTCGGCATCAAATAAAACCATCAACCTTGTATACTAAAATGCATAATTTGACAATATAACTAATCATTAGACTTTATTTCCAAATTTCAGAAACACACAAGGTCAGGTATGACAAATTCTACATTTTGTTTACCAACTCTGTAACAAGTGCCGACCATATTGTACCTCAAGTATTGCATGAAACTCCTCTTTTGCTACCACCAGCCTATCAGTATCACTTGAATCAACCACATAGATTATAGCTTGCGTATTTGGAAAATAGCATCTCCAGTATGGTCTACGACACAAGGCAAGCAACTAATTAGCTTGAACAATATAAAAAGAGGAGAAAAGGAAAATGACGGAGAAAAGTTTAAGGAGCCAATTATAGTAAATAAACAGGTAGAATATAGATGGGCTGAAGTATGCATCAAGTCACAAATACACATATTAGTCAACTTCAAAAACAATATATTGTTGACACATGACATGAGAGAGAGTCTATTTATGAAGTCTGATACAGGCTCAAATGAACAAGATCAAGTATCCACTTCCTGTGTCTTTCTGGAATAACCAAAGACTACTATCTGTGGAAGGAAACTCTGTGACATAAGTTAGTTTTGGTAAAGAATTGATGGAATATTTTCATTATCAAAAGGACATAAGGATGAATAAGAAATTTAAATTCAAGAGTATTTCCAAAAATTAAGACATTAAAGTTAAAAACCAGACATAGATCTCCATTTAGACCAGACACAGAGACAAGCTTCCACCGAATTTGATAACCACACAACAGTAATCATGTAAGCTAACAGTAAATCACACGGTCCTATTTCCTAAGAACCAAATAAAGTCCAAATTCGTGCTCTTTCAATCAGAATTTGGTATTACTGTTAAGTGTGCAATCAAATAGCTTCTTGAAAAGCACTATTGGAATGATTATTAAATTACATTATCATAATTATCAGTTGAAACATAATAAAAGTCTTCATTTAAAAGGAAAAATGATGAAGAAAAAAATAAAAAGAAAAGTATCCTCCTATCCTATCTTTTGATTAAATATATATATATATGGTACTCTCCTCCCAGCTGAGAAAACCATCAATCTGGGAAATGGAGGCGGGAGCCAGGGGGAGCACCAGGTTAAATATTTGGGGGAGAAAATAAAAAGAAGAGCATCGTATCTCATTCAGGGGTGCAGGATGGCGTTAAGCCATTGTTTAGATGGGAAAATATTTACATTGACAAAGAAATTCACAGATGAGAGAGCTGGCTATCCAAATTTAAGAGTGTCTTAACAATTCTAGTAAACTATAGAGATTTTTTTTTTTTTTTTTTTTCATACGTTATTAATAAAAATTAGGCGAAAAAAAACATCATGAACACTTGATAATAAATAACAAAATTATAAGCTATTATCCATTAAGGAGGAGAGAGATAGAGAGAGAACCAAAAAACAAAAATGACAACTTGAGATGAATTTCTACTCTTACAACCTTCCAAGTTTGCATATGTTATGCAATATCATTAATTTCAATATACAACCACCTACATGCCTTTACCTGCTTAAACAACTTTCTTTTTTGTTGAACAGATTATATTCAACCCTGTCTTTCCTAGTATTTACCAGATATTGTTCATACAAGCTAGTGATTTTAACCAAGCATTGGAAAGAAAAACTAGAAAACATATCAAATTTCAACTTTTGAGGAAAATATCCAAAAACTGATAAAAGGACAAGACTAACCTGATACTAGTCTGTCCTCCTGCATTACAGACAACGAAAAGCTATTAATGACATAACCAAGATGCTTGGATGGATTTGACAAAATAATTGAAGCTAATACTTGCCCCAAGTCGATAAGATTGTCATAGTAAAAAAGCACGTACATGCAATCAAACACATATATGGCTAGAATAATCCCCCCCACCCGTCCCCCCAATGAAAATGGTTCCTATTAACAATTTTTTTTATTAAAGAAATTAGTATTATTAAATGCTTTATAACATTAATGTTATATAATATGAAATTAATTTTCATGCTGAATCCCATGTATGTAGAATTTAGAATAAAATCATTACAAATTTGCACAATCTTTCTTTGTTTTTTGTTTTTATAAGAAACATAAGCCTGCATAACCTATTTATCAATTTAGCAGAACAATGCATGCCTCTCTCTTTTTCTCTCTCTCTCTCGAGTGTGTTGCAATCTCATAAGAGTAATCATGGAGAAAATAATACAACATGAGATCACATTTCTTCCCTCAAAGATATCAGGACCTAGATTGGCTTACCAAGATCCCAGACCTGGAATTTGATGTTGTTGTACTGCACAGTTTCAACATTAAACCCAATTGCTGCATACAAAATGGATATAGTTTATACGATATTTGAACAGTAGCTCAAGGAAAGTCAATGCAAGAAACAATTGTTTTCAATTCAGATTTTCACTTATGAAACTTCCACTAAGAAATATGAAATATACTGTAACAAGAAGGTATTAGGAACATCAAAGAACTTTGTGGGTACACAAAGAAAAATACCCCACAGAATTTACAAAACTCTATAAGTAAAACCTCTCATAAATTAGTAACAGAAGGAAAAAAAAAAAAAAAGGAACAGCATATAAACCTACAAACTAACAAATCTAAAGCAAACGATTATGCGGAAGCTAGTTTGATATTTCCACGTAAAAGAACTCAGTCAAAGAAAATTCTCATGGTAAATTCACAGCAAAACTACTATAGTTTGAATTAATCATTTTAAGGAATCTAGATCTATGGCCTGCCCACAGTTGTTTCCAATCAACTTTTCAGTATTTACAATTAAACAATTGAAAAAACAAAAGTAGATGTCCATGCTTCTTGTGGTTGAATTTTAACATTCAAGATGTAGTTTCCGATCATTGTCCTTCTCCAAATGGGATGGAGAGTCCACAGAAAGAAGAACACAAAAAGTATGGGGAAAACAAAAAATTCGAACTACAGAAATCTCCAAAGAGAATGAAGGAGGCAACCATTGTTTCTAATCCAAAAGTATTAAATGATCTATAAGACTAATGCAGCAACTATCGTGGCAACTCCACACAAACTCTTAAATTTGAATGCCGAAAATTCAAATTTTAATTCTCATAGCCTTAATTAGGAAAATGCTTTGTATCCCACATATCAAATTATAATTACAAGAGAACCACAAGATCACATTTGGAAAGAATACCAACTTGGAATTGTCGAGACAACCTCCCCCATCTGGAGCCGATCTGCACAATTTTGAAAAGAACTCATCACAAAATGGCGCCAAGTATCCGTCCAGATATCACAAAAACCCAACACATCACAAAATGTAAGCAGAAAATATAATTAAAAAAAAAACGTACAGAGAATTGTAGTTTTTCCGGCATTATCGAGCCCAAGAACAAGGATTCGAGCTTCCTTATTTCCAAAGAGCGAAGAAAACATTCGAGTAAACAAAATCCCCATGGTGCGCACAGAATGATGTGTTGTGTTATAGATAGGAAGATAGATAGGGATCAGATCTCAACGCAGAGCTCAATACATCCCTGGAAAAACCAGCTACAGACTCAACATCCAACAGAGACGTGAAAATCAAGAAATGGGCATTAGAAGAGGACAGAACCTGCGTTGATCTCAGGATTATGAATTGAATGAAAAATCTGGAGAAGCAGTAGCAGTGAAGAGGAGACTCACAGTTAGGAACTCGCTGATCTGCTCGAATTCGATTCAAAATTCTCCAGAACTGGAGTACCGAAATCTCTTCGATGGCCGTGTTCCTCCTGCTCCGGTGCGTTCTATCCACGTCACTTCCGAGGAAAATTTTATATAAACAAAATTCGCTTTTTTTTTTCTTTTTTTTTCTGTTTATGTTGAAGGACAATTCTTTTTATAAAATTTTAAATACGTGGAAAATTTAAGAATATTTTTATTAATTTAACCTTTTTTTTTAATTTAGACTCATTTTTCAAGTATAATTAATGTTGTAAATTGTAATATATTGATTATTAATTTGAGTAATTGTAAGTCAATAATTGTTTAGTTGTTCTATACAAATTATGTTCTCTTTTAGTTGGTCTAGTCTTCCCACGTGCATTCTCATTTTAATATTCTTTTCGATAAGACGATTATTGAAATAAAGCTCAAATAATGAACGGTAAAATACATTTTCGATACCTTAATTATTTGCATGTAAAACCACACTTGAACGTCTAAAGTAGTGTCTATGTGTATGCACATCACAACAAAAAACTATATATTCTTTCACTTTTATGAAAATGTCATTGAACGTTTCCTAAAAAGATTAATATCACCTTAGTCAAATCTATTATTTTGATTATATTTTTGTTATATTTTGCCCGTTCAAGTTAATCCACTCGTCATATCCACATCGAGGTCGAATATAACTCATTAGTTAGTTGATCAATACTTCATCAATTATACCCAAATCCCTAATGAGTTGGAATAGAATAGATTTAGGGTTCAACTTAAAACCATTTGTAATGGTTCGAGCCCACCGCTAGTAGATATTATCTGCTTTGGCCCGTTACATATTAACGTAAGCCTCACAGTTTTAAAACGCGTCTACTAAGAATAGGTTTTCACACTTTTGTAAAGAATGTTTTGTTCTCTAACCAATGTGGGATCTTACAATCTTCTCAGGATCAATAGTCAATAACAGCACCAAATAGATCCCCTCTAGTCCAACACTCCGTCATGTGGAATGAGAGCTACTACTACAACAATCTTTCGAGAGAAGTGCTCATAAAAAGCACAGTAAGACGACCATGAAAGTGTTAAAAGTAAGTTTTCAAAACCACTTCAAACTTATCAAACACCATAAAAATTTTGAACATGCTATTAAATGCCTAATACTTTTAATATTTGATAGGTTGACATATTTTTTGTCCATTTGATTTTAGAACTAGTTGGCTCGAGTCTAGACATTCTTGTGCAACATAACTCTGTTACCTACTCTTGGCTTCTGAAAAGTAGAAACTATCTCCACAAACAAACACGAATTCTTTTAATATATTTTGTCTTCACTCACATATATCTTATATAAAGTAATAAAAGGTCACTCAACTTAAAGTTGATCCAACTAGAGCCGGCTTAACCATAAAAATTTTATGATTGAACTATTGAAAAAAATGTGCACCTTAAAACTTTTCTAGTCATTCGATCCTTGATATTACTCTCATTTAAATGTGGTATCGATGCATTCATATACCTATTCTTTACGGGTGTCACACACTTAGAGTAACAAATCTAAAAGTTTACCTAAGGAAAACTCAAAATATTTTGATACTAGTTTTGTTGACTATTACTAAAAATTTAATAAACTTGGCCTTTTTGGGGTGAGATTTTTGGTCGTGTGTATGTGTTAGTTGATACGTCATGTGTGAAGTCTACTAGTTCAATGGGCATACAAATAAGTATTCTCGATCCAAAAATTTGAGGTATGAATAAGCCTTTGATACTCTCGAAAATATTTAATAAATTGGTTAAATTAATAAAAATATTCATAAATTTTGTACTTTCGCAAAAAGTAGGACTATAACTTTCAAAAGTTTGAATAATATTCTTAAAACTTTTTAGAAATGGTTAGTTTTAAATTGAAATTATTAATATTTTAGTTAAAAAAAATACCGAACCTTTAAAAAGTTTCATTAATATATTTATTCTTACATCCTTATTATACCTAAAAAATACAAATATATATTTTTTTAAAAAGTAGGAGTATTATTAAAACTTTAAGATATATTTTCAAATATTTTTACCATTATCACAATATCTATTTACTAATCCTTTTAATTTAATATTATAATTTAATTGGTGAAGAAATATATACTAAAATGAACTCTCTTAAAATGTAAAATAAATTAAATATTCAATTAATTTCAATTTTGAATGATTAGAGGTATATTTAAAAATAATTTGGATAATAATAAAAATAATTTTAAGTATTTTAAAATCGGAAGTAAATGGAAAGTTTTCCCAAATATTCGGAGATCATACATGAACAACGGATATCAACGGTTATGGTTTTACTAGGCACATAAATCGGGCCCACCACCTCTCGAATTGGAAGACGGATGTACTAGTAACGGAAGCAGATAATCATATCCGTTTGGCTATATAAACCCGTCGTCGTCCCCGAGACCAAAACCCTAACACTTGGATTACTCAGAAACAGACAAAAGGTGAGAACCCCACCGTCTCTTCTTCATTATTGCTTCTTTTCTTTGAGTAAATTGGTTTTTCTTTTTCTATTCGCTTTTTTATTAGCTTTCTCTGCGTTTGATGATCTATGGTTTCGTCCTCTTCATTTATCATCAACACCATCTTCTTTCTACTGCATTTTCTTCAATGATTACTGCTGATTTCAACCGTCTTTTCTCTCCATTTCTTGATTCATCTTCTACGGATTTGACACATTTCTCCTCTTAAATTTCTGCAAAAATAAAGTTCCGACTTAAAAAGAAAAACAAAGAAGTAACACGAGAAATAGAGGAAAGAAGATGAAAATTTCTTCCTCTTCCCTGCTGTTGGAATGTTCAATGGTGAAAAAATGAGAACAAATAGAAACAGAAACAGAAACTGAGTGATCAATGGACTGATGATGACGTTCAACTGAAGAAGAGAAGAAAAGAGAGGAAGAATCAAGGGAGGGTGGAGAGAGAAGTAATAATGAAACATCATTTTATTATTGATACATCATTTCTTCTATTAAAGTGTTACTTTCTGGAATTTGGGTACTAAATAGATATTGAAGTATGTTTTGCATTTTTTTTTTTATTCCTTGTTAAAATATTAATGCCTTCTACTCTCTTGTCGTCTAAAGTGAGATTCTCAGTTCTTTATTCTTTGTTATTCTACCGGTTTCATTGATTTTCGTGTGCTTGTTTTTTTTTTTTTTTTTTTGCATTTTGTTCTCTGTTGATCCAACGAAATGTTAAATATCTAGATTGGTGACTTGGAATCAGCCATTTCTTCGAAAATTGCGGTTTCTTGTTGCTGGGTATTTCATGCACTACAAAAGGATATCACACATTTCTAGACTATGCTTGCATGGGTTGTGGCAATAGAGCTTTAAGTGACCTTTTTAACTTGTTCTCATATTGAATATCCTACTAACGTTTGCTTGAAGCTGTTTGTTCTCTCTTTCGAATCTATTGCTATTTTTTATGTGGGATAATTAAAACACTTTAGTTTCACCTTGTAAGTGATATCTTGTAGTTTCAACTATGAAATCTGATTAGTTTTGTTTGTGGTGGTAGAAAGACGCAGCTATGTCAGGAAAGCAGCTAGATCAATGGGGGAGTGGGTACCAAAGTTACGACTATGATTTGGACGACTACTCGTACAGTCCTCCATCGCAAGGGAATGTACAAGTGGCAAGAATGGGATATGTGGGTGTTGTTAGTGCAGAAGACAAACAAGTGAGCAGCTATGAACAAAGTTGGAGGACTCACGATCGCAACAGGCAAACTGGAAGCTATACGACCGCTTCAACAAAGGAGGTTGCTTCTCGTGGTGAAACATTCAAGGAGAGGTCAAGTGGGAGAGTTGGGTCGAAGGATGAATTCAAAACCACCTCCACTTACAGGGTTGGTGACCGAAGTGGATATACCGAGTATCAGCATCAAGAGAGGTTCCGGCGTGTTGATTTTGGCAGCGGCAGCAGCAGCAGCATAAGAGGATCGGCGGGTAGCAAGGGGGGTAAGTAGGCATGCATGCTTGTATGACTTTTGACTAGAATTTAGTAGCTAGCTGGAACTTGGTTTGTGGTGTCCCTTTGATATGCTGTTTTCTGCCGTAGAAAATAAGATGGAAGAGATAGGCTTTTGTTGTTTTTTGGTGTTTGTAATGCTCTGATAGGTTTAGAGAGCTGAATTGAATTTCAGAAACAGAAGTATGTGGTATCGTTGGTCGGTATTTTGATACTGTTTGGTCAAGAATGGAAGTCAATGTTTTTAATAAATAATGAATGGAGAGGAAATAAATATAAAATTAAACTATTTTTTAAATTAATAATAAATTAGTTTAACTACTAATTTTATCAATTCATAACCTTTTTCATTTGTTTCTTTAGCCAGCTCTATTGCCAATTGCCAATTACAAATGTTTTAACTCTAATTAAATTTTGTTTTCGAAGTATTACCTTTAAAATGTTCATTTTGAACGGATGTTCTAAGAAAAATATAACATCGCTTTTTAAAAAATAATCATAAAATCACAGTTCTTATGAAAAAAATCATTTACTTGCCATATAAATACTTGCAATATAAATTAAAAAAAAAAAAAACCCTATAATTGTTGAAGGAAGTTTAATTTGGTTGAATGAAAATTATATGGGTTAAATTAAACCTACCAAATTTGTTGTTAATTTTTAAAAATATATTTTTATATATTTATATATTTATTTTTACCCAAATTTATAATTAAGTTGGGTTAAAATTATTTAAACTATTAGAATTTCTTTTCCATAAAAAAATATCTTTGATCACAGTAGAAAAATAAATAAATTTAAACAAAAATTTGATAAATAGAATAGAAGTTCTGGATAAGAAAAAAAGGACTCAATTATGTATGATGAAACTGAAAAAACTGAAAATGAAAACATATGATCCTTTGTTGAGCGGACCTAACCAATGAAACTTAAGATATTAAACATAACAATTTTGATGAAACTTAAGATATTAAGCAATTATAGGTAGAGTGAAACGACTTATCTTTAGAGCGATAATTAGTGTATTAATCAACTCAGCTATAATTATTAAATTGGTGAGTTGTGGAACATTTATTCCAACCTTAATTTCTTCACCATATGTAGCTAATTAAGTATTAGTGTGGAACATTTATTCCAACCTTAATTTCTTCACCATATGTAGCTAATTCAGTATTAGTACTACCAAATCTTCATGATATGATGATTATGTCGTACAAACACCAAAGAACGAAAATGTTATCAAACGAACTCTACTTCGATATCGAAAGGGCTAAGACAATCACCAAAAAGCAAAACTTCGATAGCTAGATCTTGTGTGCGTATCGGGAAAATAACCCAAGCATAGAAAAGAAAATGGAAACCAAATTCACCCAAACCAACATCTTTTCTTCTCAAAATTTATATGTATAATAACTTCAATTCAATTTCATCTCAGATATGGAAGTACATTGTAGGCTTGTTGCAGTATCATCACTCCCTTTCCTTCTCCCCACCCTATTTACATATACTCCCAACACACAGATGAAAAACAAAAATTTCAGAAAACAGGTCTTCCAGAAAATCATGGCAAATGTACCGTATCGTACCGTATGGCGTATGCTTCCAACGCCAAAATCCCAGGTGAAGTCCTGAGGTAGGGAATCAGGGAATCAGTAGAAATAACAAGCACGAGAAAACTAAACTAGCCCGAATACTCACGATGTCGAAAAGAAGAGAAAAAGAGAAGGCTTAGGCTTACATTCCCATTGCCTATCATGGATCTCCTTCATATCTGTACTTGTAGTCTCCCAGCAATGCAGTGTATAGAACACGAAAAGGATTCCACAAGAGAATGACATCGCATCTAATAGCCTTCTTATACTTTGAGAATCATCAGCAGGTGGCCATAAAGTTGCAAAAACTATGCTTCATGTTTTGTTTTTTTAATGTCTTTTTCCAATTTTTGGCTTAGCATATGAATGGAATAGTGGATGGGTTGTAACCAAGATTTAGTACTATTTCACATTCATTGCAGCTGCCATATTCCTTAGCTTCTGAGAAATTTCTGAAAATGATGGTCTCATAGCTGGGTCTGAGTCCCAGCAGCTTGACATTAAAGCCTTCCATTCCGGGTCGCACCATGTCGGGATTTCTGGACGTAAACAATTGTTTACAATTCCTCCTGCAAACAACAAACAAGAAGGATACAATGAAATTACATTTCCTTGGCCTACTTCAAAGATTAGTCTTTCTTTGGTTAGATACCTAAGAAGGCAAGCAATAAGAGATTGATGGGTAGACTACGGATCTAATAGCCAATTTCATGTGAGACGAAGAGAACGAAACGTTCTTTATAAGTAGACGCATTTTAAAAATCTTGAGGGGAAGCCCGAAAGGGAAAACCCAAAAAGGACAATATCACCACTAGCAGTCTTGATAATTTCTTATTCATATAATGTTCTGAATTTAAAATTTCAAAGCCCAGTTGGATTTTTCATCTGCAGTAATCTTAAGATATGATTGCATTATTAAATAGAAGATTCAAGAAATCATTGCAAATTGCTAGCAAGTATGGAAAATAATATACGTACCTTTCCAATATCATATATGTGCATAATTATCCTAGATCTCATTGACATTACTCCAGCAAACAAATGTTAATTTCAAAATTATTTCACGGATTCATGGTCCTTCCCCGCTTGTGCCGAACCGTGAATAGAGCATTTGCTCATAGTTTAAAAAAACAATGCATAGCTGATAGATAAGAGAGCATAAAGTTTCTCTCATAGTTCAATGCTCACCGATTATAGAAGCACAATGCATATCTGAATACGGTTCATCTCCCGTGAGTACTTCCCACATAACAATCCCAAATGAGTAAACATCGATCTGTATTCAACCAAAACAGTTTTAAGTATACAGATAAGCTTTAAAAATGTGATTAGCCAAATGAAGTGGTAAGAATGAGAAAAGGGTGAGCCTACCTTCTCTGTCACCATGTTACTTTTCCCACTAAGAAGCTCGGGTGCCATCCAGGGTAAAGTTCCACGAACCCCTCCCGATACTAACGTGTGTTGTCTCACCTTCGACAATCCCAAATCACCGATCTAAAAAATCATGCACACAGCATGTGAACTTAGAATTGAGGTGCTTCCGAAGATGCAAAATGCCCCCACGGTTCAATCTTTTTTCGCTTTCAGGCACGATGGGAGGAAATTTATAATTTTTAGTTGAAAGAAAATCTTTTTGAACCGTTGGCTTCATCGACAATATATGTCTGATGAGCTAAACATTGAAAAAGTTGAAAACAAAGAACAGAACAAAAGCAGTGGATTTATACAAGCCTATAGGTCCCGACACGAATAACAGGAAGAAAGTATGCTACAAAACAGAATAGGAAATAATAACCACAAACAAATTTAGCTCAGTGTACCTTGCAAACAGGCCTCTGAGGATCTCTCATATTCACCAAAAGGTTTTCGCATTTCAAATCAAAATGTACAATATTCTTCCCATGCAAATATTCCATCCCAAATGCAGCATCCATGGCTATAATTAGTCTCTTACGACGATCAATTGTCCTATAGAAAAGGTAGTACTTACGTCATATCACAATCCCAGTACGACTCACTATCAGAGCAGTTTAACATGAAATACATTCAATGAAAGAACAAACGATCCTTAAGAAAGTGAAATAAGAACTATCCCACAACAATTTACCTGTCCTTCTTGTGCAAAAACTGTTTCAACGATCCATTTACCATGAATTCTGTCACTGTTGCTAAGGAACCATCAGGACCATCACGAACAATGCCATAGAAGGAAACAACATTTGGATGGTGTAAGGAACTTAATATCAAAGCTTCCTTCCAGAAATCTGCAATCTGTTATAGGAAAGAAGTAAAAATCGATAACTACGTGTAGTCCACCAAAACATTGAACTGACTGAGTAACAAATCAATACAAAAAGTGGTATAAAAAAGCTGGTCAATATTTGGTTACACAAACTACACATTGTCACACAAACAAGTAACAAGCATATGGCAAGATATGGACCAAATTCTTCATTCAACGGAACCATAAATGCCTAGTGAAAGGAAGAGCAATAAGTCCAAGATTCTACCAGACGTTCCCTTTCTGAGGGTCGTCCAGCAAAACAGCTAGCTTTTATCCTCTTTATTGCAACATCAGAACCTCTCCATTTCCCATGATAAACAGCACCATAAGTCCCAGACCCTAGTTCACGAATCTCCTCCAGATCATCATTGTTAATCGTCTAAACAAAGAATACAAAGATAAAGCATCAAAGCACGAGTGAAAAGCATAAGCAAAGTCATAATGAACACAAGGAATAGCCAAAGCGCCTTCCAGAAACGGACAAAAGTATGAGGTGAAAGAAGATAAGCATAATTATAAGTTTACTTGTAATCCTCTTGAAATGGCTTCTTCTTCAGCCTTTGTTGGCTCAATTGTGGAGCTTTGATTCTCACTCCCAGTTTCCAACTCAGGTTCCCCATGGGCATTCTGTACGGCAAAGAAAACAACAAAAACATAAACAAATACAATGAAAAAATATTGTCAAATGTCAAATAAAATTGCTCAATTGCTTTGTCCTAACCAAGGAGCCTAGCTCATTAGCTGTCTCTTTTTTCCCTATTGAATCAGGTCTCCTTAGAGCGGTTTCTTCAACCATTGCCTCTTCAGATACTTCTAATGCTGCTCTTTTCACAGATGCAATCAACTCAGGTAAGAAACTCAGACGGCTGACAGATAGTTTTGGATTTTCAAGAGTCTCTACAGCAGATTTCAAGTCATCACCATTATCTACTGGAGTGTTTGTGCAAATTGAATTTAACGATTCAGGGGGTGCAACCTCAGAATATGTGTCATCAGTGTTATTCTGCTCTGGATGAGATACAACGCGTGCTTCAGAAATGTCAGCTTCCCCCATATCAGTTATCATGTGTTCGTTTCCTTCCCCAGGCACAATTTTCCTTTCCATCATCATAGCTTCATTAATCACACTAACAGTCCTCGGTTGTGGATTTTGGCTAGGATTAAAAGGTGAAACCATTTTTTCATGAATAAATGCTGAAGATGAATCTGATCTCTGCAAAGGAGAAGCGGCGAGGTTTATCTTATCTAGATGTGGTTGGATATGTTCTAAATTTGTGAATTGTTGATTGTCATGGCCAACCATGGTCGAACTGGTCTTCAAAACAAGTGCAGGTAAATGCTCTGAACCAGTTGCTCCCTCAATACCCAACATTTTCTGTGAGGATTCATGCCAAGGATTTTGATGGTCCGTACCAATATGAATGCGGGGATTACCCTCCTGCATGGCTCTGATATATCCTGGATTAACAGTCACATTCCCTTGCTGAATGGAAACAGATGCTTCATAAGGAGGAGCAACATGTGACGGGTTCTGAACATTTCGCCAGGCAGCATTTCCAGGCATATGCCTGTGTGCCACCGGAGGATATTGAGGATCTGCTCCATATCCATAAGGCATATTCATATAACCAACACCACGATCTTCAGGAGGAGGAACACACATATGTTGCCCACTAGGCACAACTTGGTCACGAAATACCTCATCATGAAAATTCATGGAAGCTTGGTAGCCATCAGTTATATTACCTTGTGTAGGAGGAAAATTTGAGCCAGAGCCATCCACAATGTAGTGATCATTCAATCGTCCAGCCCCAGAAACATATGTTCTCGTGTCATCCCCCCGCACGCTCATCTGGTGTTGCATAATCCATCCTCTCTCATGGGGTGGTGCCTCGTTATAAGCAGATCGAGGATCATTAATATTCTGCTCATTTGGGAAAATACCATGATGGAACTTCGTGTCAGCCTTTTGCATCAATGCCTCCCTATTCTGAGAGTATTCATGAGGAAGTCCATTTAACATATTAGCTTGCTCCAGGTGTGTTTGATACCGATGATAATTTGATCGACAGTGTTCACAAGAACTATTCCCATCAGGAACACCATGTCCGTGTAATATATTACCAGGGAACCCTGACTTTTCACTAATAGGTCCATTTGGCAGCCAGACAATGTTCTCGTTAGATTGTGGTTGATGTTCATACATATACTGGTGATTCATTTGCTCCCTGGCGTAGTCTTCAGGCATTCTTTCAAAGTATTTATCTGGAAAATCAGGGAATGGCAGACGGTACCATGCAGATGGAGAAGATGGATATTCTCCCACTGGTCTTGGATCATACATACCAGGATGCCTGGGTGAAACGAAAGCAGGACTCCACGGAGCTTCCATTTCACTATACCTTTGAGCCACAGATTGTTGTTGCTGCCCAGAACCAATATAAGGGACTGCGAGCTGATGCAGCTGATATTGTGACAAGGGCTCACAACTCCTCTGGGTGTGAAGACTACCTTCAATATTCAGTGGGTTCAAAAAATGTTCTATCCCGTGCACATCATCTATGCCACTAATTACAGGGGAATCTGGCATCTGTTGTCGAACAAAATCATTCATGTCATTCGAATTATTAAGAGCATCTACATATCGCCTCTCAGTATCCCTCTCATCCCCATCCACAAAAGGCAAGGAACATTCTTGTTCCGGATTTGAAAACAAGAATATCCTGAGCCTAGTGAATCCGTCACCGGAACCCACCTTATCATACTCTTCCATCATGTTAATCACATCATCATCATTGACAACAGACACAAGAGCATCAAGATCCTCATCTGGTTGCTGGTACTTCAACACTGCAGCCCCATCATAAAGTTCCCTCATCTTAACCATCAACTCCTCATATGTAATATCCCTTGGAGCACTCACAATCCTTGTCTCTCCCCCAACATAACGAAGCTTGCCATCTTGGGGGCGAGGCATTATACTTCCCAAGAAGCTGCACAGGAATTTAACACGCGGGTTTTCATCATTCGAACCAGGATTCGAGACAGGTGAGGAATTAGGGGCTGAGATCGACGTTAAAGGGCTATCCATCTGTTTGCAGTCTGATATTTGAACGTCACTAATCGATGCAGCAGTTCTTAGTCTTGCTCAAACATTGAATTTCTAATCACACACCACAACAAAATCACGCAATCCTAATACAAACCAAAATTTTGAAACCAACCCAGAAAGCAACTCCCAGGTTCCTCGGTTTTCAACGAACCAAATCCTTCGGTTTCCCCATATCCAATTGATACATCATCAGGAATAAAAAAAAACATCCCGACAAAATCATTCTAAACGAGAAGAAAAAAGAAGAAAATAGTAATGAATCAACCAAAACAAAGCAACCCCAGAAACAAGACTTAAAAGAAAAATGGAGAAATTCTAAGAACAGATCAAAAAAGCATTCACATCCTCCAATTTACAAAGAAGCGGGAATTGGGTACCTGAGAAAACGAATCAAAAGGCAGCAGGGTAATGATAAACTAAACAAACCCAGATGGGAATTTGAGGCTAAAGCGAATTCGTTTACAACTAAGACGCAAAATCCCTCCTTAGAGGGTTCTGAATATGGGGAGTCCGAGGGAGAGAGTGTCCATTAGCAGACAAAGTCTGAGACGACGATGAACCTAAGAAGATGATTGGAAGAGATGGCGATTGAAAAAGAGGACCGCCATGGGAATGGTGGCTAAATTTTTTTGTTTTGGTTCTTCCCTCTTCTTCTTTTTTCGAGGGTGGTTCCAAGCGAAGATGCGATGCCTGTTCGCCAGGTAGCGTCCCACGTGGCACTACGTGGTTTCTGCGTTCGTCTCAGCATCTTATTTATCTCCTCCAAGGATATGCCTATTCCATTTATTGCTATTCTCTTTCCCTTTCCAAACAAAATATATCTTACTTTTTCTCAAGTGTTTTCTATTTATGTCACTTTTTCAGTTTAATTTCTAGTCATTTATTCCAATTTCTATGCTTTGCTTAAATCTTTTAAAATATCTCTTATACGTTAACACATTTGTTATACGGTTTTTTTTTCCACTGATTTAAGCTTCACTTTATAATTGTTACAAATAATTTGATCCAAATTATTTCTACAGAGATATGTGAGTGAGTGGATGTATTCTATATAATGAATTTGTATAAGACTAGATTTTGAAATGTTTAATCTAATCTTTATTAATTCGGTTAATGTTTCACATGATTATCATATGATATTAGTCGTGAGGTGTTGTCATGTTTTTCTTGTAAGAATTTGTTTTATTATTCATGAGAGGATCAATGATATATTCATGGATACAGTGAGCTTTTGACTAAGTTAAAATTATCAATAACTGATGAAGGATTAACTTACCCGTAATGAATATATCTTTGAATACAACTTATCCTTTAATATATAAGAATGCCAGTAGAAGAATATATAGATGTATATACATGGGAAAAGCAAAAGGCTCCTTCCCCATGGTTGTATTTTAGGTAATGATCCAGCATGTTTGAGAGCAATTAGCCGGGTGTCTTTCATATTCAACTATCTATGTGTTCCGACATATCCAAAAGGCCTTGAGAATTGAAATACGAGTAATTAGGTGATAATAAGTGGTAACAGTCCAATTAACCCTTTTGGATTTGAGATAGAAAATGTGTTGTCCTTTCGCTATTTAGTTTTCCTACGATGATAATTGTTATGATATGATTGATCTTATACATTCCAATCATTTGTTGATGGGAACATTTTGTTCATGAAATATTTTCAATGTTGCATTACGTTTAAGAATGAGCGATTTCCATTTGTGAGACTTCATGCATGTCTGTGGTTATTATAACTGATACGAACGTCTTGAGATTTGAACTAATATCATTATTGGAGAACAAAATCCAAGAAGAAGTTAACACAAGGGAAAGTTTTGGAACATATTAATTTGATGATCAAGATCAAAAATAAGAGTAAAGGAACAAAGTTTCTAAACTTGTAATTCGAATTACTCCACAAAATAGCTTCATTAATGCTACTTGAATGACTCTAGTATGCAAATCTAAACACAAGAAAGGCAAATCATGGCTTAAGAAACATAATACACAATTTTAATTTTAATATCCAAAATCTTTATAATAAAGCAATAATATGAATGGCTATTTATGTGAGATCCCATATCGGTTGGAGAAGGAAATGAAACATGGTGTGGAAACCTCTTATTAGTAGATGTGTTTTAAAATCGTAAAGTTGACGGCGATATGTAACGAGCTAAAACGGATGATATATGCTAGCGATTTTTGGGTAATGCTACTACTCGGGCTTAATTTGTAAAGTCTCTATCTATTCAGTACAAATGGTTTAAAGCTAGACACTTTGTGTGAGCGAGGACGTTGTCCAAGAGAGTAGATTGTGAGATCCCACATCAGTTGGAGAAGAAAACAAAATATTCGGTGTGTGCGAAAGTAATGCACATCGTACGAAAACTAATGAAGTATGGAAAGTATTGCTTGATCAGCGAGTTCTATGTGTTTTAAAATCGTAAAGTTGACGGCGATATGTAACGAGCTAAAACGGATGATATATGCTAGCGATTTTTGGGGAATGCTACTACTCGGGCTTAATTTGTAAAGTCTCTATCTATTCAGTACAAATGGTTTAAAGCTAGACAGTTTGTGTGAGCGAGGACGTTGTCTAAGAGAGTAGATTGTGAGATCTCACATCAGTTGGAGAGGAAAATAAAATATTCGGTGTGTGCGAAAGTAATGCACATCGTACGAAAACTAATGAAGTATGGAAAGTATTGCTTGATCAGCGAGTTCTATGTGTATGAAAACTATATAATATAATATAGTTTTAGTTTGGTCGTATAATTTTTGATTCAAAAGCCGTCCAAAAGGAGAGATTTTTGGGCAACATTCCATTCATTCACAGTACTATTCACTTTCACATCGAGCTTCCCTTGCCCTTTCACCTCTCTTCTCACTTCACCAAACATGGGTCAAGGCACTCCCGGCGGACTCAACCAGCAGGGTGGTCTTCCTGGCGACCGCAAGCAAGATGATCCCAACAAGAAGGACAAAAAGTTCGAGCCAGCGGCGCCTCCGTCGCGTGTCGGCCGCAAGCAGCGGAAGCAGAAGGGTCCTGACGCCGCCTCCCGCCTACCGACGGTCACTCCACACACCAAGTGCAAGCTCCGCCTTCTGAAGCTCGATCGAGTCAAGGACTATTTGCTCATGGAGGAGGAGTTTGTTACCAATCAGGAACGGTTGAAGCCCCAGGAGGAGAAGAATGAAGAAGATAGATCTAAGGTCGACGACCTTCGTGGGTCGCCCATGAGCGTTGGGAATCTGGAGGAGCTGATTGACGAGAATCATGCGATTGTGTCGTCGTCTGTCGGTCCTGAGTACTATGTCGGGATCTTGTCGTTTGTTGACAAAGACCAACTGGAGCCTGGATGTGCGATTCTTATGCACAACAAGGTAGGTTTTGTTACAGGTGTTAATCTGGCAATGTTTCGTTTCTGTAACTAGAAAACGTCGAGGAGTTGAATAAATCTGCATTTTTTAGATGGATTTTTGCAATTGGTCTGTTTACTTTTCGCAATTCTTCGATTCTGGGTTATTGAGCTGCTGCATTTTTCTCGTTCGTGCATTTTTAACATGTATTCATATCAATTTCTCAAGGAGGACTATATCGGGTTAGGGTTTGTTCGCTTCGGGAAAATTTGAACGGAAAAATGAGCCCTAGATTAAATTTTATGATGACTCTGAGCTTAGAAAATTGGATGTCTATGGTGATGTGCAATATTGATGAAAATTACTTTCTGATTTGTGAAATGTGGATGGTTTTTTTGCACTTTACTCAGGTTCTTTCTGTTGTTGGGCTTCTTCAAGACGAGGTCGATCCCATGGTATCTGTTATGAAGATTGAGAAGGCTCCATTGGAATCCTACGCTGATATTGGTGGTTTAGATGCTCAGATCCAGGAGATTAAAGAAGCTGTAGAGCTTCCTCTTACTCATCCTGAGTTATATGAAGACATTGGAATTAAACCCCCCAAAGGAGTTATACTTTATGGGGAGCCTGGGACAGGGAAAACATTGCTCGCAAAGGTATCTATTAACGTAGCCACACACACGCACACACACGAAATTGTGTTACTCTGGAAATTAGAACGAGTATTGATTTAGCAGCGGTGTAATGTTTTTTCCAACTCTCACGCTAGTGAATTGGTTGTTAGAAGTTCTATATTTGCTCACCAAGTTGACATCCATTAATGAGTTGGACTTTTACTTTATGAATTTGCGGCGAAGTCTTTGCTGCATAAGCTGTGCTTGACTTTATCTGTAACTTGATTGTGTTCAGGCAGTGGCAAACTCCACTTCAGCCACTTTCTTGCGTGTAGTTGGAAGTGAATTGATCCAGAAGTACTTGGGAGATGGACCTAAATTGGTCAGGGAGCTCTTTAGAGTTGCAGATGATCACTCCCCATCAATTGTATTCATTGATGAAATCGACGCAGTCGGTACAAAGAGGTTCTCATTCTAATGAAAATTCTTGGGACACATTTTCTATGTTGGATGCAAGCAGCATTCCTTATTTCATTGCACGTATTTATATGTTGGCCAGGTATGATGCTCATTCTGGTGGCGAGCGTGAGATTCAAAGGACCATGCTTGAATTGCTGAACCAGTTGGATGGGTTTGACTCAAGAGGAGATGTTAAAGTAATTCTTGCTACAAATAGAATCGAAAGCCTTGATCCTGCCCTTTTACGACCTGGAAGAATAGATAGAAAAATCGAATTTCCCCTTCCAGATATAAAGACAAGAAGACGCATTTTTCAGGTGCTTCAATTACCCTCTTGCCCACAACCACCCGTACCCTTGAATGTGACTTTGATCGCAATCGACTATTTTTTTTATCATATGGTTTTATTAACGTTGCTGTTCATAAAATCTAGATTCATACATCAAGGATGACACTAGCTGAGGATGTGAACTTAGAAGAGTTTGTAATGACCAAAGACGAATTTTCTGGGGCTGATATCAAAGCAATTTGCACCGAAGCTGGCTTGCTCGCTCTAAGAGAACGTAGAATGAAGGTAATACCGTTGTACATAACGACTAACAAACTTGAACAAGATTTTTCTCCTCTAGCTATATACACGCAGTGCATTTTAGCTCCCGATAAAGTTGACAATATCTGAAAATTGGTAGCTAAACAGTGAGGGTTTCCTGCTGTATGCATACTTCTTTAATTACTGGTATAATAGTATGGCTTCATGATTAACGTGTGATAACTTGCTTTGTTCTTCAGGTGACTCATGCAGACTTTAAGAAAGCAAAAGATAAGGTTATGTTCAAAAAGAAAGAGGGAGTTCCAGAAGGACTTTACATGTAATGGAGTCGGGACGTCGATGCAAAACATGTACACATCTCTATTCACATGGGCTTGATTTAATCTTCATTTTCCCCTTATTTAATCTGGAACACGGAGGATTTAGCACCCAGTTACCTGGTTGAGACGTTTCTTTTAGATTTGAAATGAGATACACGACAATTTGTTAGAGATGAATCAGGTGACGTTCTTTTTGTTAAAAGAATGGGCCCTTTGAATTTATATCTAGAGATTTGTAATGCTGCTGCTGCGATAGAAGTACAATCAGCAGCAAGGAAGGTAGTATCAACCACAAACTGGCTACATTTTTTCTGTTCATTGAAATTTTATTGACGGAGATTGATGATTGTCAGGTGATGAGTTATTTCTTTTCGTATCTTTTCATTTGAGAAGAAACAAATTTGTTGATGAATGAAATTGCAATATCAGGTAGGAAGAATCCATCCCCAAAGCAAATTACAGAAGATTCTTTTAGTTGCAAAGGGGGAAGGGAGAGATTTATCTTAAAATTTGAGCGCTTAAGAGTGCCTCAGTTGGGCTATGAAGTCGGGGTTAGTAAGTCGGTGGAGCTAATAAGTCGGTGTTTCGGGTGTTGAGTATGAGTTTTGGAAGTCTGTGTTTGTGGTGCTGATTTGCGTTTGTACTTCTTCATAAATGGAGGGCTTTGTACGATATAAAATCTTAGGGTTGGACTTTGAATGTTTGTAGGGAATTTAGATGTCTGTCATTCTTGAATTGGGGTATTTGTTTAGTGAAAGACCAGCACTTGTAAGGATTTCTGGGAAACCCTAGAATGGTTGTGTGCTTGTTTCAATCTCATTTTTCAAATTTATTTATTAATCCTTGAAGTTTAGATTTTTTTTTTTTTTTTTTTGCCTTTTGGCTGCGCCAGTCATATAGGGCGATCGGACTAGGCAGAGTCAGAACGTCTTTAAGGTTTATATTAGGGAAAGCAGAGTGAGGGGAAGAGGGGGCTGCCCTCGGCCCGATCATCCTATTTGCTCCAAGAGACAAGCATGGTTCTATAGTTAAAACAATATCGTCACTTTCGAAGTGACCCCATCGGATGGCAGCCCTTTCAGGGGTTCATGACTAACATGGAGTGAATCTAAAAAAACTCATTTTAATGATTCAAATATTATAAACGAGAACCAAATAAAATAAAACAAACAAATAAAGCAGAAATTATTCTAAAAAAGTATTTTAGTGATTTAAATATTATAATTAAGAGCTTTATTAATAACCAAAAAGTTCTAATATAAAAAAGTCTTGACTTGTTTAATCTTATAAGACAGTAACAATATCAGAACTGTGAAAATGTGTTTCCTTATTTCACTTCTCATGCTGTCCAGCCATCTCCAGAAAGGTAAGGCCAGAAGATGATGAAGCAAAGCAAGCGAGAGCTTGACAGAAGACAGAGAAATATGTAAGAAGAAACAAATGGAATAATAACAAGAAGGAAATGTTTGCAATACGATACCGATCGACACCAGCTAAGACAGAGCTTGTGCCATTATCGAGCGATGAGACAACTGTTGCTCATAAAGCTCTCGGAAAATTCGGTATTTGGCGTCATGGTATACCTTCACCTTCGAGTTTGTAGACGGATAAATCACCTGCCAATTGAAGCAAAATTTTAATGGTAAACACTAGTCCCTGAGTAAGATCATGGGACAACAGGAAAGAACAATTTGATGCATACCTGACCAGCAGCATTCAGAGCTTTCATGGCCTCTTGCAAAGTAGAATATTTTCTAGCAGCCACAGCTCCAAGAATGGCTGCACCTAAGAGCACGGACTCGCGTTCCCGAGGTAAAATAATAGGACAACCTGCTCAATCACCAATGTTACCCGGGTGTAAGATCTAAATGATATCAACCTACTGGAAAAAACAGTCCAAATGCTTAGTTCTGAAGGATCACATAGAAGAAAATCTTAGAAAATATCATATCGAGGGAGGAGAGGTGAAGCACAACCAGTAATATCAGCATGCTCTTGAATGAACAAAGAATTCTTTGAAAGGCCACCAGATGCAAGTAAAGTGCTAATCTGTTGGAGGAGAAGGAACAAAAATAAGGAGAAATACTTGAAATAAACTATAGAGTTCATAATGCTGAGACAGATATTTAACTTTTGCCCAGGAGCCCCTTCAAACACACACACAACATTTGCATAAAGATGTCAATTCTTCAAGTTGGATAGCTCTTTCTAATGAGTTTTGTAATTATCCTTTCTTTTCCGTTTCAACCCATCAGAAAGTGCTAGCATTCAGTGGGTAAAGAGAGTGAAATAAGTTTATTTGTAGCAGTCAATAAGGATCTGATCAGGTTCCATCAAAGGGATGGTGGGGTGTCTAAACTCAGAATTTATTGAAAAAAAGAGGATCTTTCTAACACAACAAGAGATCACCGCAACTAGTTTAATACTATTGTGAGATCCCACCTCGGTTGGGGAGGAGGATGAAACATTCTTTATAAGGGTGTGAAAACCTCTCCCGAGTAGACGCGTTCTAAAAACCTTGAGGGGGAAGTCTGAAAAAGAAAACTTAAAGAGGACAATATCTGATAGCAGTAGGCTTGAGCCGTTACAAATGGAATCAGAGCCAGACATCAGGCGATATGCCAGCGAGGAGGCTAAGCCCGAAGGGGGATGGACACGAGGCGGTATGCCAACAAGGACGTTGGGCCCTAAAGGGAGTGGATTGGGGGGTTGCACATCGATTGGAGAAGGGAACAAATGCCAGCGAGGACGGTGGGACTCAAAGGGGGATGGATTGTGAGATCTCATAACGGTTGGGGAGGAGAACGAAACATTCTTTATAAGAGTGTGGAAACCTCTCCCTAGCAGAGCATTTTAAAAACCTTGAGGGGAAGTCTGAAAGAGAAAGCTCAAAGAAGACAATATTTGCTAGTGGTAGGCTTGAGCCGTTATAACTATCCAATCCCATTTGTCTTAAAAAAACAAAAAAAAAAAAAAAAAAACTATGAATTCACCATACCTTGTGACCATGGGAATTGCAGTGCTCCACAATATGGCGAGTGCCATATGCAATAGCCTGAACTGTGGCAAGGTACAAGATAGCCAGCTCTTGCTCACTTGTGTCAAGTGTTAAACCATGGATCACTCCTTTGGCTTTTGGATCCGAAATGGGAGACCTAATCCATGATGCAATGAAGTGTTTTGACAATCTCTAGAAGGGGAAGGAACAAAAAGAACAGAGCAAATGATTCAGTCATCCATTCACCTATTTCCATGAAAATCAGGAAGTACGTGTATATCTTCAGTCAAAGCAGCAAGAAATGGACTCTTTAGATCAACCATCAAACTCTCCAACAACTTGTTCAAAATATCAAACACAGAGACATCTGAAAGATTAAAAAGACAAAAAGAAAAAGGAAAAGAGGAGATAGAACATTCCAGATTAGACACAATCATTGAAGTATACCCTACTTTAATCACAGTACACAAATTAATATCAAAATATAATAACAAAAACGTCATACTTTGCGAAGCAGCACAGTTTGAAAGATGAGGAGAGGCGACATGATTTTGAATTAAGTGATCAAGTAGAGCTCCGGTAGCACTCTGACCACCTTCAGTGAGCCAATACTCAGGTACCATCGCTGTCGTTTTAGAAAATCATATATCATGTATGTATTTTTATGGCAATCATGTGATCACAAGAAAAAAGAAAATACTTCTGTACAACCTCTTTCCTAAGCTAAGAAAGAAATAGATGCTTCATATAGGTAGTTTATGTAGTAAATTAAACTCAGCAGCAATGACTACAAAATAACAAATTTGTAACGGTCTAAGCCCACCGCTAGTAGATATTGTCTGCTTTGGCCCATTATGTACCGCCGTTAGCCTCACAGTTTTAAAGCGCTTCTGCTAGGGGGAGGTTTCTGCACCTTTATAAGAAATGCTTCGTTCCCCTTTCCAACCAATGTGAGATCTCATAATCCACCCTCCTTGGGGGTCAGCGTCCTCGCTTGTGCACCACCCAGTGACTGGTTCTGATACCATTTGAAATAGCCCAAGCCCACCGCTAGCAAATATTGTTCGCTTTGGCCCGTTACGTATCACCGTCAGCCTCTCGATTTTAAAATAAGTCTGCTAGGGAGATGTTTCCACACCCTTATAAGGAATGCATCGTTCCACTCTCCAACCAATGTGGGATCTCACAATCCACCCCCTCGGGGGCCTAGCGTCCTTGCTGGCACACCGCTCGATGACTGACTCTGATACTATTTATAACAGCCCAAGCCCACTGCTAACAGATATTGTCCGCTTTGGCCCGTTACATATCACCGTCAACTTCACGGTTCTAAAACGCATATGCTAAGGAGAGGTTTCCACACCCTTGTAAGGAATACTTCGTTTCCCTCTCCAACCGATATGGGTAATTGACACAGAACATATCCATGTACATTTTGACAGTACAAGCATTTTGATCGTGCCAGTTAGAGAGCATAGTCCACCTGCCCCTTTCTTCTTTACCAGGCTACTATTCAAAATGAAAAGTTTGACAAAAACTTGGAATTAATTTCAATCATACCTGACCAAAACGGTCCCCAAACACCAGGAATAAAGAGTTTATCCCTTGAGACAGCCATATGGCAGGTAGATGTTCCACAAACCAGCGCCATACGATGCAATATCGTCTCCTTATCGAACTCTAGAATAGTTATTTTCAATATGAATGAATGAAAATATAGTAAGGAAAAAAGATGAACATATATAGGATGAGCCACAACCTTTAGAATCAGAACCTTGCACAGGTATACTTTCCATCACCCCAACTCCACCTGCATGAGCATCAATCAATGAAATACCAACAGGGATTCCAGCAACCAAACCCATTTCCTGATAAGCATAAAGAAAAAAGCGATTCAATCAAATTAAAAATGACTTTGAAGTTGAAACTTTTCTCCTTTTCCCCTTGAATATGCATGCGAATTTGCTAATATGGAATTTACTAACCAAGTCAAAATTTTGAGTACTAGATTTCTTACCTTTGCAGCTTCTGGAGTCAGACCAGAACCCAAGGGATGACCGGGGAATGCTACACTTCTTCCTAATGACATTATACATTGTTAACTTTGTACAATCAAGAAACTTCCTTTGCAATCAAAAGGTAAACTATCAGAGAGAAACTTGCATTTCTTCTGAACGGATGTGCGAACGAGTCTTTAATGCAAGAAATAAATCAAGATAGTTCTGCGCTCGGAACACGTCAATGCAAAACGATGTCGAAATTTTTAAGTATTTCATCAATAAGAACACTCAAAACCAAGATATATTTCCAAGTGATTTGTTCAGACCTATTTTGGCATGGTGACCATCAACAAGATCTCTTAATCCAATTTCCTCCCAGAAATCATCATCCCATCCACAAGCCTCCATGTTTCGGGAATCCTTTTCGTTGTACTGTGACATGTGTGCATGGCCAAGGTAGTTCCATTTGCACACAATGGTGCAAAGACTGCGCGTATCCTCATCTGTTGCCCTAGAACATGCAGATAATGACCATATAGGTAAGAAAGATACTGAAATTTCAAGAGGTTTGGCAGTCGCTTTACCTATATGACAACCAATCACTCAAGTCCATCCACCTGAACACCATTGACCATGTGTCTGGTAAATTTTCTTTCACCCAGAGAAGCTGCAAGAATAATCTGTATCATAGCATATTCCATGACACATTTATAAAAAGAGGCATATCATGCACTTCATCTCAATAGTCAAAGATCAGATTATAGAACATGAAAGTAGAAAGTGGAAACGGAAAAGAAAAAAAAAAGTGGAAAGTGACTGCATCTGTAATAAAAGGTGTATCTTGCACTTTCTCTCAGTTGTCAAACACAAGCATACAAAACATAAAAGTAGAAAGTGAAACGGTGAGAATTGAGCTCAAAGGGTCCGTTTATTCTGTAACAGCACAAGCCCACCGTTGGCCAATATTGTCCTCTTTGGGCTTTCCCTTCCAAGCTTCCTCTCAAGGTTTTAAAACGCGTCTACTAAGGAGAAGTTTCCACATCCTTATAAAGAATGCTTTGTTCTCCTCCCCAACTGATGTGGGATCTCACAATCCACCCCCCTTTGGGACCCAGTGTCATTGCGGCACTCGTTTCCTTCCCTTCTCCAATCGATGTGCCAGCCTCCTCACTAACACTTCTCCCGGTGTCTGGCTCTGATGTCATTTGTAACAGCCCAAGCCCACCGCTAGCAGATATTGTCATATTTGGGCTTTCCCTTCCGGACTTCCTCTCAAGGTTTTAAAACGTGTCTACTAGGGAGAGGTTTTCACACCCTTATAAAAGAATGATTCGTTTTCCTCCCCAACCGATGTGGGATCTCACATATTCTCTCCTTGCTTTAGTATGTTATAAAAGCATCTATTACACTAAGAAAATCTAACCAAGACGATTGTTAGAGTTTGTTGTACGAGAGAAATCACAGACATTCAATGATGAAGATAGATCATGAGAATTCCTTTCCGTTTTTGTTTTCCAACTTTTGTAACTAAACACCCTAAGTAAGATGGGGATGTGGGTGCATTGTTGCAAAACTCAGGGAGCAAAGATTTCAGATATACTTTTACACTAGATAAATGAAAATGGATCCTTTTTTGAAGCAAATATGCATAGCACAAAAAAAGGATCAAACATCTATTTGGGTACCTTGGGGGGCTGCATCTCAGGGGAAAGAGATCCACCACAGTATTGTAATACTGGTGAATTGGAAGAGTTGATCCTTTCAGCCTGCTCTACGGCTCTATGATCCATCCACACTATTACATTTCTTCTTGAATCACCACTCCAAGATACTGTAACTGGTGAACCATCAGCGTCGACCGCAACTGAAAACAAACCGACGAATATTATCTAGTGAGTTGGTCATTCTTTAATAGAGCAAGATAAAATGACCGACGAATAACATACAGACCAAGAGAGCAGGTAGCAGCAAATCCAAGACCCTTCACTTCCTCCCCTGAGACGTTCGCCTTGGAGCATGCTAATCTTACTGCAGCACAGACTGCATGCCAGATATCTGTCGAGGATTGCTGGTTTGAAATAGAAAGCTTATAAATAATCATGCAAGCCCAACATTCTTTGGGCAGGAAGCTATACAAACGACCATCATTGTTCTAAGGGCAGAAGCAAGCTGAATTGGATACTAGAAGGACATTACCTCAATGCAATTTCCATCTCTCCAAATCTGAATTGGGCTACTAGACGAACCCAAAAGTTTCCCACTCTCATCAAAAATACCTGAAACAGAAGTCCAATATAATAAATTTCTACAGTCAAAGAAGGCAATCTGAGGAACAAGAATTTGGATAGGAAGATCAACAAAACGTGAACTTTATTATTTTTTTTTACTGTTCATTGGAAACAAAACATACAAGGATATATTCAAGATGCTTAGCTCTTCCACAAAGTAATCCCAGAATCTACTTACTATCCAAATTCGCTAATCTTTTACATGTTTAATACGCTCACTTCCGCCTCAACTAGGATAGCATACAAACTACTATCTAACTCATGTGCTAACTATCTCACAACCCCTTGAAACTAACAACTAGTTAATCTTAAGCTGTCAAAACAAGCCAACAATAAGTTTTTATGTACTTTTCAGCTGTTGGGAAGCAGCCAATCGAGTCCCCAACCAAGCAAACTAGGAGTAAATGGGTACACATGTGAGATCCCACATCGGTTGGAGAGTGAAATAAAGAATTCCTTATAAGGGTGTGAAAACCTTTCCGGATTTTAAAACCATGAGACTGATGACAATATGTAACGGGCTAAAGTGGACAATATCTGTTAGTAGTAGGTTTGGGCTATTACAAATGGTATCAGAGCCAGACATTGAGCGGTGTGTCAACGGGGACACTGGCCCCCAAGGGGATGGATTGTGAAATCCCACATCAGTTGGAGAGGAGAACAAAGTATTTCATATAAAGGTGTGAAAACCTCTCCCTAACAAGGGGCTATACGTAACTGACAAAAACAGACAATATCTGTTGGCGGTGGGATTAGGCTATTACAACACATCTGGCCAAAACTGACCTCTCTACTTACAACATTTTCTCTCGCACCCCAACTTGGCCAACAAAGTTCCAATCAACGACTTCTACGGCTGCTAACTAACCTCCAGTTGATCACCCACATAAGATAAAAACACTCACCCACTGTTCAACACCCTTCACATTTCATAGCACATAGAACCAAAACAGACAATCAATATCCATCATCCTTGAGTACAAAAACCCATACAACACCGCACATGCAGACTTCAAATGCATCCCAATTTGAACCCAGAACGCAATAAAATCAAATGAAAACAATATCGATCGGTAAGTCAAAACAGAGGAGTAAGGAAAAGGAAAAACCTGCGTGAGCGCTGGCGGTGCCAGCGTTGACGCCGAGGAAGACCGGTCGAGGGGGAATGACGGCGTCGGTTGCAGAAGTGATTCCGACAACAGAGGAAGGGAGTCGAGTAGGAAGCGATTGAAACCGATTCTGCTGACCGAGCAATGGAAATGTCTCGGACCAGGAATTTCTCTTGGCTTGCATTTTTGGTTGCACTCGTGGATTTATCGTATGTATAATAATCTGGATCTTTGTGTGTGCTTATCTGCTAATCATTCATGATCAATAAATCCTGTTTTTGTAAATCAGGGCATTAACAATGTTGTGATTTATTGCTGTAATGCATCAATCCAATCGAATCCAAACGGCTGAGCTCAAGTTAGTTATGAACTTAGCTCGAGGTGGACAGATACCAGTCCCTCAACCTTTACAATTTTATCTTAGACGTCCTTAAAAAAGAACTACAATATATTGATGAAAATCTTTAAAATTTTAAAATAACTTTTAAGAAAAATATAATTATCAATGAGTTTATGAAAGTTTCAATAATTTAAATTAAAAACTAAAACAAAAAGTTAAAAATATATTTACATCTCCTTCCTATTCTATTTTCTCTCACATCTTCTTTAATTAATTTTCTAACACTTTTCTTTTTTCTTTTTGTTTATTACGTTCTTATTCTCATTCTTCCATATTCTTTTAATATCTAAAAATGTTCATTGAATTAAAGCACCATTCTTTTGATATCTAAAAATGTTCATTGAATCAAAGTATATACTCGATATAGTTGAATAGGTATATCAAATTTGTAGTCATGAAGATTATGTTGATATTTTTGCGAATAAATCTACTTATTGGCCAGTTTTGAGGATTTTAATTTTTGAACTTTGTGAAATTCTTATACTTTAACTTAGAAGTTTTAAGTTTTATTTAAAATTACCGGATAACTTTAAACAAATTTTTTGGGTGAAAAAATTGTGATTGAGAATGGTAGAGAATTTCTTCCAGAAATATCTTCATAATCACCAAAATCTATAATTCAAATGGTAAAACATTAGTATAACTTAATAATTGAGATATATACATTTGTTCTGGAGGTCATAGGTTGGAACGATTACACTATCTAATTAGCATGATTGTTTAACAAATTTAGGGTCGAATCTCTTAGTCTAATTTTGATTAAAACCATAATACTTCGATCAACTTCTAATTTATATAAAACAAAAAAATATGCCTAGTTACAAAAGCTACTAAATTAAATGGATGATCCATCTTGATCTTGTTCGAAATGAGTAAAATCATACACATTTGTAACAATATCCAACATGCACATTATTCTTTAAAGTCCAAGTTTAAATTCCAAAGCAAGAAGGTTTAGAACGAATTCAATAAACAGGCTCTACCTGATGATTATATTGCACCGAAAAAGGGATTTGTCATTGCAGATTCTAACAGTGATCCAGCAGTGACTAAAGCCCCCCGGTCGACTTTATCCCGGGGAAGGTACAGAAACTCTCCTCCTCTCTCAAACCCGCAAAGCTCCAGAAACTCTATCCCTCCTTTCAAACTCCCAACTCTCTCCTGTTCAAGAACAAAATAAGATGCTGATATTACTTCCAACAATGCCTGCAATTCCTAAACACTAACCTTTCTAATTTAGAGCTTCAAAAATGAAAATTTAGTTGGATCTCATGCTAAAGTTTTCATAAAGCTCAATTGCAATGGAATAATGAGAAGACTTGGGAGAGAAAAAAACGAGCAAATGGAACGAGATCTTGCAAATACCAAAAACATGATTTATAAGAGTCCAAACCCAAACCCACCGTTAGTAGATATTTGTCATCTTTGAACTTTCCCTAGAAGACTTTTCCTTTTGGACTTTCCCTAGAGGACTTTCCCTTTTAGACTTTCCCTCAAGGTTTTTAAAATGCGTCTTTTAGGGAGAGGTTTCCACACCCTTATAAAAGAATTATTCATTCCCCTTCCCCAACCATGGTGGGATCTCACATGATTCTTAATAAATTAGTAATTATCAGTTCTTGCTCTCGTGTGCTCATAATGATCTTATAAATTTTATTGAGTTGAATGTCTATGAAGACTAATTTACTTTAGTGCTCAAACTACTACGCAACAAAGACCAAGAACTGCAAGAAACTTTTGGACCTCATTGGTGGATAATATCTAAATTTTGTAGAAATTTTTACATGCTGTTGTAACTATGAGTTCATAACATAATCAACATATAGGATTAGAAAGTTTACCTGGAACAAAGGGTTACTGAGTCGAATCTTCCTAAACTTTTCCTCATCAGGATTTTTGGCTACATTTCTGACATAGATAAAGAGGGTTCGGTAGGCAGTTCTCACTTTATCAGAATCATCCTTGAACCCAGAAATAGAACAATTAGAAGCATGAAAGAATGTTAATCTAGCAATTGTGACGTTTTGAAGTAATCATGACTGATAAGACTTTAAAAGAAGGGTTCATCAATAAATGAGTCACACATTTTCCATAGATATCATTACCTTTTGATGGCGCCTAAGAGACCTTAAGCATTCTCTCATAGAAACTGCTTTACTAACTGAAGTTGCTGGCAGTGAATTCTGCGATCTAAGTTCATCATTTTTCCCTGCTTCGGTGGCGTTAGATTTTGTATCAAGGCTTTCAGACCTTTCAGAGAGCATTCCACTATTCCTCCTTCTTTCTATCTGGAGAGATGTACATAATTTATTTTTTTTATAATGTATAGCTTTTGTAATTTCCTTTTCCTAACCATAGCCGTTCTCTTAGCTCAAAAGAAGCAACAAAATTATAGCCTTTTTGGCAACAAGCCTGTTATAGTTATAGCTATACAACGTATCCTAAGCTGAAGTGATATTTATCCAGGATATGATCTTAGTCAAAAGTAACAAGCAATGTTGCAGCAATTGGCAGAAGGTTTAAACATTACAATGACAGAATATTTTTCCTGCCCTGACAATCAAAAAACGATATTTCTGCGTGGGTGTGTCACAAAAATTGAAAGCTTAAGGATTTATTATATACAAAGTCAAAAGTTTAAAAACTTTTAAGACACGTTTTTAAAGTTCAAGGATCTATATGACTTGAAAATTCAAGGATTAAACCAGTAATTTAACCGTATTTTAATTTGGATGATTGAAGACAAGAAATCTCCTTGAAGCAGATAAAAACTTAGACTTGGGAAACCATCACCTTCAAGGATTTGAGACTAGTGACCAAAAACCAGTATACAACCTTAGTTCCAAACCAGATAAGGCAAAAAATCAGATAGGCAGCTGTAATTCCAGACAGTAACAACTAGTAAAGAGCACCAGCATGAAGAACAGAATTTCCAGACAGAAACCAAAATTGATGAATTGATCACATGTTGGAAATAAAAATAAGCTATTTAATTATAAATCATGGAGAAATATATTATTGCTAATAAGATAAAAGAAGTGGTGGAGAAAGCAACCTTATCTTGTTCAAGTTTTTGTAGAACTTTTTTCCTTGCTCTCTGCTCCTCCTGTTTATCAGCTTGCCTAGAGTCTATATAGCTGAGCAAAGAAGAGTAAATCTTTCAATTCAAACAGAAAGTTACAATGATTTAAGAGATACAAGAAAATTAAGAACGAGACTGATAAATAAAACACACCGTTTCCGTTCAGCTTCTTCTGCAGTTCTTTTTGCTTCTTGTAATTCTTTACCAGAACGAATTCTGTCCTATAAAAATTGCAAGCATAAACTGATGAAAATAACATACAGTTAAGCTTAAAAATAACATAAAATGGAACCAAAATCAAAATATATATTCATGATTGGAGACTGTTGGGCATACCAAGTGGTCAACGCTTAAAATTTGTTACCCACAATCACAACACTAGAGCCAACAAATAGTGAAGGAATAAAGTGGTGATAATTGAATGATTTGCAAAAGCATGCCAAGAAACGCCATATACCATCTAGTAATACACATATAATGGTAAATTTCCAAGCCATAGCATTATCAATGCTAAATTTACAACTCTTCATGTACCAGTTCTGTTGATATGCAATTATTGCTAATTTACTACATTTATACAAAATAATCTTCAACCAGTTAAAAAGAATAAGATGGAAAAATCACAGATTTGTATGTGATACCTTCTCCCTCTGTCTTTCTAACTTTTTTTCTTCTTTTTCTTTTTCTTTCCGTATTTGATCCCTAAACAGAGAAAAATAACAGGGAAGTTGAGGGAATTATTCGAGAACTTAATGTGATGGCACTTCAGATTATAAAATTCTAAATTTAAGATGGCTCTAGAGTGAAATAAAATGGCAGAGTGATTAATTTAAACAAAAAAGAAAAAGAAAAAAAGTGTAAAGCATTGAAGTCTTTCACAATAAACAAATTATGACATCATACCTTAGTTCCTTAGCCTTTCTTTTCATTTCCTCTGTGATATGAAATGGTTCAGGAGATTCAAGATCAATGTCTATTGCTACCTGCATAACATTCCTTAGTTATATTTATCAGCGTGAAACTAAAATCTAATCCACCACTTTTAATAGCAAAATTCCTGTATTATGGTCTTCCAGAGCTAGTGTACCTTAAGTTGAAAAGCACGAAATATATATAACATCGTATAAAAATTTCAACAGTATTTTGATTTGTAACGACCAAAGCCCATGACTAGCAGATATTATCCTCTTTGAGCTTTCCATTTCGGGCATATTGTCTTCTTAGGCCTTTTCCTTTTGGGCTTCCCCTCAAGGTTTTTAAAACGCGTATGCTAAGGAGAGATTTATACACTCTCATAAAGAATGCTTCGTTCTCCTCCCCAACCGATATGGGATCTCACAATCCACCCCCCCCCCCCCCCCCCCCCCCCCCCCCCCCCCCCCCCCCCCCCCCCCCCCCCCCCCCCCCCCCCCCCCCCCCCCCCCCCCCCCCCCCCCCCC